GAGGCTGCTGGTGCTCAGAAGGTTAAGTCTTAGTGGCAAAGAAAAGAGGTCAGCAATCTACCTGAGCCCATCAACTGGCTGCCTAATGGCATGGCCAGATGTGTTCAGATCTGCAACACGTGAATGAAGTCATCAGGATGGTACGACAGCTCCATCATTCAAATGTTACCCAGATTATTTTCTATATTATTCGCACTACAGCCACACACCTATTTTCAGGATGGACTTGAAGCACTTGTTTTCAGAGAGCGCGATAGGCACAGAGCAGTCACAGGCGCTGCGTGGGACCCCAACTGGCCACTTTGCCATCCCAGTACAACAAAAAGCCAATCTCACTCTGCAGCCTGACTACCCACTGCTGCTCATGTCTTTGTTTTGGTCTAGAAGAGATTTCCTGCGTGTGGAAAAGAAAGGTCTCAAAGAGCAGTTCCTTTACAGTGCTTTCAGTCGGTTCCCCTTCTCCTCCACTAAACTGTACCTGCATAAAATGCTTTTCTGAAGGCATATTAATATTGCACTTTGAATGGTATATCTTTTCTCATCAAAACCATTTTGTTCATCCCCAAAACGTTAGATTTCCATGAGTCTGGCGAGAATAATCCTGAACAGGGTTTCACCTTCTGTGGTGTGGCTGGAATTACTTTTTTAAAAGCCCAGCAAATGTGCGTGGAGTTTCTAAGTGATGTGCATTTTGCCATGCTCTCCCACTAATATTTCACTATACTCAAACTTGCATTTGTAAGCATTATTCTGATTTTAGATTGCATCAGTGCAAATAAGCGGGAGCACTCACTCTTCTCTCTAAAGGGTATAGGCATCATCTTACACCTGTAAAATTATAAACACAATATGAACCAATTCATACAAGAGTACCTCAATGGCAGTCCATACCCATATGATACTTGCTTAATTGCATCAACTGAAAATCAAGTATATATTGAACTTTTTGTGTTAATTCAGCCATAGCCATCTTCACTTTCTGGTTCCTCTGTAACCAGAGGCTCATTCCATACTGGCAGGACCACATCCCACGCAAACAAACGGGCACTAACTGGCAGCAGCAGTCTGATGCTGGGACCAGTGCAGCTGCCAGCACTGGCCTCACGCCGTGTCTGGGGCACTGCAGCTTGTGTGCCTCTTCGGTGCGGGGGGTAACAGATAACCAGGGGGTCATCGGCTGTGGTCCCACATCCCAAATGCCGGTACATGGCCATTAGGATCACCACCGTGGCTTTGGTGCTCAACGTTCTTCGTTGTTTCAGGCTTCTTTTTAGCACTTCACAAACTACCTGTGGTACAAAGGGGCACGCCATCTCCATCACTTACGGGAGGGAATGACATCAGGGAATTTAATTTTGGCAAGGCCCCGGATGTGTTTTGCTGCCACCTCAGCATTTCAAACCGATGGCAGGTTTAATACCTTTCTTAAGTAGCCTGATGGGTAAACTCCCGTAGAGACTGGAAAAATTCACAGAGCCGGTGAATATCATTGCAGTCCCCAAAGGCCACAGTGTTTTGCATGTGTTAATCCCCTGGAGAACAACATAACAGACATCCCAAACAGAGCGGTTTTGGAAATCCCAAATGCCTAAACTTTACCACAGTGTTATCTTGACTGCAACTCATGCCCTGTAGCATTGGAGAGATGGGGTGGGTGTTTACACCTCTCTATCTCTTTTCTTATTTCTCTGGAAGCCTCCTGAATGTTCAGAAAAGGTAATGAAAAGCCTTAAACTCGTGCCCGTGCTTCCTGCACCGAGACCAAAATCTCCTGTAAGCTTGCCAGACCTTTTACAGATGCACCCCGGGGATTTAACACTGTGCAGCTTATGGGTTTATATGAAATTTCATAAAAGAGAAGCCCTGTATTTTCACATAAATATATTTATTTGGGGAAAGATCAAGAAATGCCAATATATTTCAAATCAGTTCCCTACTGCATTAAAGAATGTGAAATATTCATGTGAACATTTGCTAATCCTATCCAGTGGAATCTATTTCCCTCTCTCCCTAGCATGCAGGCTACAGCGGCTGAAGGTTGTTCAGCCTTTTCATTAGGAAGAAAAGTAAGGATGATTTGTGAAAACCACATGGAAGTAATCATAAGGAACAGTACTGAAGGGGTTTAGAACAAAACCTTGTAAGCTACCTTGTAACCATGCCTTCTCTTTCATGTGTTTGTTTCTTATACGGTGTTTCACAGCTTCAAACTGTAAATCTATATTTATGGACATAATCAGAAGTGCAATATATTATGCTTTCATAATACAGAAATAAAAATTTAAGGGGCAGCACATACATTTTCAGAATGTATATCTCAGGCTCGCTAAATTCTCCAGTAGGTAGCATCACTCCCAGCAAATTCCAATTTCTCTGTTCAACCGTTACTCTTGATAATGTAATGAGTTACTTTCTCATCAGGGCTAAGTTTTGCATATCCATCCAGGCCCTCCTGTGGCCCAGTATCTCACAAATAATCCCTTTCTTCATCCACCTGAACTTTGATAACTATAGCAGGAGATGGAAAATGAGGAAATCTGAGTGCTTATGATCCCTGATTCCACCAGGGAAAAATACCTGACCTTGGGAATTCATTTAAGCCTCCCCATGCTATGAATTCCCTAAGCATTAAATGGAAATGACATTTACTTTCCACTGAGAGACACTAATATTTAAATATTGCTTCAAAGATCTTCAGATAAAAAGAGCTATATATGTGCAAATTTTTATGCTTCTTTCTGCTTTCCTACACCTTCAAGATACAATAATACACTCAAATACTGAAATTTTGTTACGAAATAAAATTGTACTTGGAAATGTCAGGCCTGCACAGCCCAATGATCCAGAAGTCGCTAAAGGCAGTGTATCAGAAGAAGATGTAATGTAGCCTCTCCAGGTACTGAGTACTGTCATGAAGATAATCGCTTACCAGAACCAGCCGTGACCATTTCCCCCACGTACTAAGAGTTATAACAAGTATATAAATGATGTCAGATACAGTCCCTAAGGGGCGGTTTGGATACATCCACCTTGCCTTGGAGAGTGGTGGCGGCGGCGGGGATGAAGAATGCTCAGCTGTGTGGGCATGAACCATGCCATGCCACTTGGCAGGTTCGCTGTATTTAGTGATAAAGACACAGCCTATTAAATTCCCCTATGTCTTCAAATTTTTGCACTTAAGCCTACCAGGGTAACGCTCTGAAGAGGATGACTTAACACCTTGACGAGCACCTGAGATCTCTAACAGCTGGAAGGATTTCTTGGAAAGATTACAGGAAGAAATTTTACTCCATTGCTTTACATGGAGACCCCGAACGTCACAGAGCCAGAGATTTTTAGAAGACCCAGTCTGGTTATGGCTGGAATGTACTGTGTCCAGTTCTGGGTCCGTCACTACAAGAAAGTCATCGAGGTGCTGGAGTGCATCCAAAGAAGGGCAACGAAGCTGGTGAGGGGTCTAGAGCACAAGTCTTATGACAGGCAGCTGAGGGAACTGGGATTGTTTAGTCTGGAGAAAAGGAGGCTCGGGGGAGACCTTATCACTCTCTACAGCTACCTAAAAGGAGGTTTTAGTGACGTGGGGGTCAGACTCTTCTCCCAAGTAACAGGCAATAGGACAAGAGGAAATGGCCTCAAGTTGCGCCAGGGGAGGTTTAGGATGGATAATAGGAAAAATTCCGTCACTGGCAGGGTTATCAAGCACTGGAACAGGCTGCCCAGGAAGTGGTGGAAACGCCATCCCTGGAGGTATTTAAAAGACGGGTAGATGTGGTGCTTAGGGACATGGTTTAGTGGTCGTTTTGGCAGTGTTAGGTTGATGGTTGGACTCAATGATCTTAAAGGTCGCTTCCAACCTAGATGATTCTATGATTCTATTCAGTGTATAATTGCATATAATGCTAATGGCAATATGTAAAACAAATAAATTTCCTTGAAATTGAATTTTTCATTGATCCTGTGAACTTTTGTATTATGTTACTGCTATGTCAGCACAAAATTCAGGCAAATTGCTCCCAATATAGAACAGATTCAAAGAATTTAAACCTTCTCTTTTCATGCAGTATGTGTGAGCAGACAGTGATTCCTCTGAATCTGTATATTGTTACTTATTGACTACTTTTTACCCCTACCTCGTTCTATGGACTGAAGACAAAGGCCTGAATGAAGCATATTTGTATGACATAGTGGCTCATGTTCATTACAGCAACCACACAAAAGAAATTCCATCACAGCAACTGTAAAATTTTGTTACATGCATCTAACACAAACAATTAGAAACTGGGTTGAGAGAATAGGTTTGTAATGAAAAGGATTATGAGATTAGCCCACATCTCCTAAAAACCAGACTGCAGATATTACACTTTTAAAATATTTGGGGTTTTTTTACATTTCATACAGGTCCTGACTGAGGAATCAATACTAGAGTGAAGCATGAATACTGAAAAGGCAGAATACATACAATTAATTTAGTATTTCTGATCCTACTAGAAACACAATACCAGAAGCATCTCGAGAGGTCTCATTTTTGTAGCCTAAGAGACCAATTGGTATTGGGAGAAGCATCTAAGCTTTTGGGTACCACTAGGGGTCTTTTTACCAAAACATCAAATGTTCTTGTTCATCCCCTTCAGTGTCCAAGTTTACCTTCTTCTCTTTAAGAAAAGGCTTCTGCAACAGGAAGGATTGAGTTGTGCTGTCCCTCTATAACAAATGAATCAACTCTTTCCTCATTTTGCTGCTAATGAAGTACAGCCTATCTCATTAATGTTTTCCAAAAGAAACAAGAAGAATTCAAATAAGAGCAACATGAACTATTTTTAATGCAGTTTCTAGAAAAGTGAATAATCCCATGTCTCCGAGGAAATGAATGCCTATGTAAGAAATGAAGTGGATTGCAAGCACAAGATGTTTTCCCTTCACAGAAAATTAAATTAAAATAAAGGTCCAGAGCTGAGAGACACCTTCCCTTCGGACCTGCTTCTCCTTCTCCAAACCCTTACCTTTGTGAGAAAACATCTCGGTAGGGGCTGCCGTGCTGCAGTGCGATCCCATATCCTCTGTCCGCAACAGTGTTCCCGACCGTGTAAAAAGAGCAGTCTGCGTCGTTGATGGCCACGTACTCCAGTACTGCTGCGTCCCATACAAAGGCGTAGTTCCCGTGTTTCACCTGTGGCAAACACAGCAAGCACTCAGACAACGGACTGTCATGTCCAAAAGAAGGTCAGTGCACCTAAACACGTGGCAGTTTCAGCACAGTCTGCTCTTTAAAGAAAGTGAAGTTTGGGTCCCCAACAGCTGTCAGCGAAAAAAGGGCGCTGTGACAGGCGCCACGTGGTGCCTTGGCTGAGCACCTCAGCAGAAATGGAAGAAACGTGATCTGAGAACAACGTGCCGTCCGTGGAACAGCACCATGCAGGAAACCTGTGCCTCTTTCAGGGAACAAAGGAAACACTGGGCTCCCTCCATCAATGCTAGATTCCACCCCAAATCCCCTCACTAAGTTTTTGCTTTGAGCCATAAAACCAACCTTTTAGAAGGAAGGTAGGTGTTCGCACTGGGAGAAGCGTGGGAGGGTAGGCATGGCTATCCACATCGAGGACCACAGTTCAAGATGGTCCACATTTTAGTCATGCTTCAGGTTGCCGCACACATCATGAACACCTCTTTGTATTTTGGGTTCCGTGCATGATTGTGGGCAAGATCACGCCAACTAGTGTTTTGGGGATTAGTTTTCTCAGCACGAAGGGTTTTCACGTATTTTCAAAGACTTTTGTACAGCAAGATCATGTAAGTAATTTTAACTGTTTGACTAAGATAAATCCAAAACAACTCATTATCTTGAAAAGCTTTTAAAGTAACATTTTCCCATCCATTCACATTTGAAACAAATCCAGATTTTTCTTTTCATTTAAATATATGGGATGTATGCAAAATTTCAGCATTTATTCAAAAGCAAGCTTTTAAAAACAGAAATCCAGTCTAAACAAATCCTTCCATATTTCAGTGAATTTCCAGTTCCCAGTCAAATGATGTTTTTCTGAAAAAAAAAAAAAAAAACAAAACCAAAAAACCCAACCTCAAAAAAAAAACCCTCTAGCTGCTCTACCAGATCTTTTCCAGTTTTCTGTTTCGTTGGTCTCTGTGTCAGACCTGAGGAATCACATTGCTTTTTTCCTGACCCTCTGCTTGGCTTCACCCAGCGCTTTCCCTATGCCATATTCGCCAACTAAGCTGTAAAACTAGGCTGAACCCATTGACTTTGTACATCTAATGGGAATAAATATGTGACAGCTAAGTGAAAAGTAAACAAAACACAAAAAGGCCATCTGGGGCCAGGCAATCCAGAGAGAATTCAAAACCAAGTCAGCATATCAAAATAAGCAATGTCAGTACATCATTTAGATTAGGCTTTGACAATGTAGATTATGTTTTTAAAGACTGTTTACATATAAAAGCTACTGAAGCAAGCCACACCGGCTGCTTGCTCACAAGATGCAGTGCACAAGGAACAATTGCATTTGGGACACATTCCTTTTCACGCATAATCAATCTGAATTAGACACTGCAGGCCTGGAAAGGGAATACTTCCTATTTCCATTTGTAGGCACGGTTACAGTGAGGATTTGTGCAGATTTTGGAGCAGAAACAGGGCCATATTGTCTGTTGACTCTGAATGACAGGCAGGATAAAAAAAAATCTTTTCAAAATACGAACGCACACAAACGCAGGATTGGATCAGTTTTAATCTTCAGGTTCTGAAAATGGGCAAGAATGGGTTTTTTTTTTTTGCCTTCCAGTGGAGGTTTAGGTCTATCTAAATGGCCAGGGAATAAGGGATGGAAGTGAGCTCACTGTTAGCAAACAATACAACTTACATGCTTGTCTTACAGGCATTGCAATTCACAGAGCTCTTCCTAGCTTGGGTTTGCACCAGGACACTTATTCTGATCTTCCTACAGGCACCACTTGGCTAAGAAATAGATAGAATGACTGAGAAAAAAAGCCCTTCCTGGGAGCATTTAAAAGGATAATGACTCAGCCTGAAAAAGAATCATGATGTAAAAAAAAAGGGTAAGAGGAGACAGAAGCAGAAGATCAGAAGGGGGGGAAATGAATCCTGAAAAGGATCAGATGGACTTTCCAAACAAAGGAATTAAGGAAACTTGGGGTTCAAAAAGACGAGTAATTTTACATGCGGGGAGATAACCTTTGAGGTGAGAGCAAGAGCAGAGGGTTATGTTTTGACACCCGCTTTTGTCCTAACCCACCCTTTTAACATCCTAGCGCATTGAATTCACCCAAGTGCTTGTAAAGAGACTTATCAGCTGCTCAGCTGGTCAGAAAAAATTCTCTTGATTTGGCTGCCTTGCTGTAAAACAACTCGCAGTGAGAATATATAAAAGTGGTAAAAGCACTTACTGTCAATAATATCTGTGATGAAGTGGTATATATAAGATCCTTAGAGCAGACCTGATAATATCACAGTTCAGGTTCCCACAAAGATATTACTTTTCCTAGATAAGATCACAGTGAGCCTCAGTTAAAGTGCACGGGGCAGGAAAGAGATTGAAGAGCCAGAAGGGATTATCCCAGCCATCTACCTTCAACACATGATTGCTCCATGCAATAAAATACATCCTTTTTAGCATTTTTGCCCTATCCATTTACAAATCTAGGGAATTCAAATCCATGGAGCAAACCTAAGTTGCAATTGTCATGCTTGCAATCACTCTCTTTATGGAACTATTCCTCAGTCTAACAGTTTTCATTGCTATTCAACATATTTATTTTTACTACTTTTTTTTTTTTTTTAAATAACTTTCTTATGTCATTGCTAGTTATTTTTCCTTTTGCAGTTCTAAATACTCTCACTTTGGGGCTGGCACCTTTCAATTACTGATGAACCTTTCTGTTACTTAGCTGAGCTGGATATAGCTTTCTTTAATCTTTCCTTGCAAATCTATCAGTTCAGTCCTCCCATTAGCAGCGATGCCACTTTTGAACTGCCTCCAATTCTTAATTTTTATATGTGAGAAAAACCCCTGTCTTGCTAAGAGAGAATCAGTTATCTGGCAGCTCAGGAGGCACATGGTTCCCTTTCCAGCATACCCTTCTTCTGAGATTCATAGTCTAAACCGTCTGTCCATGGATCTTTCATACAGCCAAAGACTGGGTTTAACCTAAAGGTCTAAGAATAAAATTTTGCTGGAGTATAGCATATCTGGAACACTGCTGATATTTTACAGATTTGCACTGACAAATAAGGGGTAGCTATACTATGAAAAAGGGGGGATGATGCTCTACGTGAAAGGAGAAGGGATTTCAGAGCAAAACATCAAATAAAAACCTATAACCTTCTCTCTCTTCCTCCTACTATGAGAAGCCCATATTTTGTAGCTTTCCAACAGCTATGTTGAAGACTTCCACTTTGGACCTCAAAATGAACAGCAAAAATTCCAGCTCTGCGTTATGAGAAAAAGTTAAGGAGCTTACAGTTAGTTAAGTACGGGGGCTAAATGAAAATAGAATTTCCTTGGGGAAAAAACCCAAACGGCTCTTTGTAATATATATAGCTCTCTACTTGCAAAAGATCAGCATCCCGGATTCTACATTTCCACATCATTATATTGGCATTTTGTGTCGAGATAATAACATCTCAGGACGGTGGCAAATCTGAATGCTGTTCACACACGACCGCACAGCCCAGGATCGCCAGGGAAGCATCCGTAGGAGGGCAGCGTATTATCATTCAGCAGCAACCCCAGCTTTCCACTCCGCCAGGGCACGGAGAACTGACACTTCAGTCTCCTTCTCCGTGACATCCCGCCTGTCAGTACGGCAGAGGCTAAAAAGATTTTTGGAGTATCTGATGACTATTGCCATAGGGGAAAAAAAAAAAAATTACAGGCAAAATTGAATCTGTTAGTTGTTCATCAGGGTGTTTTGAACTCATGCGCTACGCTGGTCGTTAAGTGAAACTGGGAGGTACGGTACTAGACAGAAATGCTTGACTTGACTTCATGGTTTTGTGAGCAATTCCAAAGGAGTTACTGTAAAAAGAGTTGTTACATGGAATAGGGGCCATCGGCACATAGATGGTAAAAATACTTCTATAAGGCTGTTATATTTCTATTTTCTATCACTGCACACTTATGGGATTTTTATTTGCTGAAGCCTTGCCTGTAGATATTAGTCAAAATTTATTTTTGATGATTCCACCAAAACTCAGTTGAGTTATACGAAGAAAGCATTGAAAGCCATTACATTGTTGCATATGCACATATTTTACGCCAGCAAGGATGTGGATAGTATTTCTTCTTACGGCTAACCCGTTCATGCAGAGTAGGCTGAATAATGTATTTGTGTACAACTCCAGCATTCTAAAAACACATTTCTAGGTCTACATAATTATAAATTTCAGAAGTAAACAAAAACCAGCTACGGCAATTTTTCATACTTGAGTTCTTGGACAATATCTTTTCTGTATTTTAAATTCCTCTTTAAAAGAAATACAAAGAATCCTCATGAAAGAAAAGAATACACACAATAGGGCGCAGGTTAAACAGAATTGGTAGTTATTTTTCCTGCGCACGTCTTTTAAATATTTCATCATACATAAAATGTGTTACCTGTTTCAAATGATTAAAATGGTATTAATTTTCTGGAAGAAAATCCCAAAATTATGAGATGATGCTGATGAAGCACATTTTCTGAATACCCTGTTCCTACACCCTGGTGACACGGTGGTGATGCTTTCTCTACTCATTTCCATTACGAGTCAGGCACCGTCCTTCCCTTTCAACTGTTGTACACCTTTCCCTGCCTACAAAGTTGTCAGTTGTATTTTAGCCAAGAACACGTGAATAGAAACAGACTCTTCCACAGCACAGCAGCAGCAACTCCAGCTCTGACCTAAAAACAATCAAGGACACTGAGCAATCACTGGATCCATACAGTGCTTTGAGGGTCACGTTCTCCAATATGGACAACTCCACTGCACTGATTACACAGGGAAAAAAACACCATTGGATGCTGCTATTGCCCCATGCCTACCAGAGTGGACGTGGGACTTCAGTATATATAAATACAGAAACCAAATTTTTGACATAGTCTTTGCATACTCAGCAAGCATGCAGCAGCTGCAGACTGCAGAGGGCTGTACTCCAT